CTAGTGTAGTAATACATCTTCGCCCTTGCTGTTTCGCAGAATTAATAGGCCTAAAACTACCTAATTATTAGCCTATACCTGCGTAATAATTAGCCTATACCTGCGTAATTATAAGGCTATCTACTACGTACCTTACTTATTTTTAGAAAACCGCGGTATAATGTAAATTAAATAGGTATACAAGTAGTATAACTACGTAGTAATTAGTGTAAGTTAGTATATCTAATAATAGTCTAGCGCAATATATAGATAATATACTTACCTAATAAATACTAGTATGTTATATAGTAATAGTGTTAGTATAAAGAGCCTAGTACTATAAAGCTAGATATAGACCTATTGTGGAAATTTAGATTACTAAGGTTAGGAATAATTTAGAAGATAGATTATTAGATTATATCTACTACGATCGTACTTATATATATAGAGCTTTAGCTACCCTTACTAGAAGGTAAATAATTAGTAAACCTTCCTTACTAGAGCTCCTGCTTTTTATTAGGCACTTAGTAGTAAGCTAGTAGTTAATTAGATAGTAGGTTATATAGGGGTATTAATTAGGGTTAATTAGATTAAGATACTCTATAATCTAATTAATATCCCTCCTATAATATACCCCCTAGGTATAGGTAGATCTTTTATTATTATAGTTACACTTATAGTTAGTAGGTAGTGTAGCTAATTAGAGTGTTATATATCTAAAGGGTTAAATTAGCTTACCCTTTAGATACTAACTAGCGTACCTTCCTTATTTAGCCTATGCTTATATATATAAATATTATCTAGACTAAGCTCTATAACTCTATCTACCTAACTATAATTTTTATTATAGCTTAAATTATAAGATTATATAACCTTAAAGATCTAAACTATATTTATATCCTTACTAACCTATATCTTAGTTAAAGTTAAAAACTACTACTTACGCTTACTCTACTTACACTACCTTTATTAGCTCCTATATAGCTAAAGCTATAGTTACTAAAGCTACTACTACTAAAGAAGAGTATACTACTACTAAGCGTAAGGCTATTATAGAGTGTGTAGTAGCTAAGTATATAGCTACTACTACTATAGTTAAGATTATAAAGCTAAGGAAGGGCGCTCCTACTCTAGCTCCTACTACTCTAGCTCTAACTCTAGCTCCTGCTCCTCCCTAGACCCTGCCCTATACCCCTGCCCCTACTCCTACTCCCTCTCTAGCTCCTAAGGAGACCCTAAGATCCTCCTATTATAGAGAGTCTAGTATTTATTATACTAAAACTTATCTAAATTATCTATACTTAGCGCTCTTTAATAAGTCTAATAGTAAGTGCTATAACTCTTCTAGTAAGGGGACTTAGTACTAGTAGTACTCCTTTAAGTATAGCTATATCCTAATATATATAATCTATATAAGAATTTTTCCTTTATAATACTTTAGTAAAATCTTATACTAATAAACTAATAGCCCTAAGCTTACCTAATATTCTACGCTATCCTTCCTAGTAAGGAAGTAAGTAAGTAAGAGCTAAGACCTTCTTAAGAATAAGAAGTAGAGGGTCTTAGTGCTCCTTAAGGAGAGTAAGGCTAAGTAGTAGGAGCTAGTAAAAGCTACTACTACTACTACTAAGCTTGCACGTAAGGCTACTACTATAGCTAAGGGTACCTAGAGCTCCTTATTAGAAGATAAGGACTCTAGCTCCTCTAAGGTTCCCCCTATAGATCCTAGGTTAAGGTAACCTAGGTAGCTCCCTATAGACTCTAAGGCACGCTTTACACACGTAATAGAGCTCCTTAGGGAAGCTACCTAGTTAATAATAGAGAGGTAGGCTATAGTTAGTTATTCTTATATTATATATTAATAGATCTTATATACTACCTTACTTTAATTAATACTATATAATATATACTCTACTATTATATAACTTTAGGTACTCCCTAAATCTTATAAATTATTATATAGTTAGGTTTTTAGTAAGCCTATTAGCTAGTATCTTACTAGTAGGTAGGTAGGTAATATAGAAAGATCCCTTTATATACTCTTATTTTAACTATATGTTTTAAATATCTATATAGCGTAGCTTAGTAGTAATCCTTTTATTATTACCTACTACTAACCTAATAGTTTATTAATTATTATAATTAATTATCTAGGTAGTATCTAAAGTAAGGTGTATTTTAGTTAAAAAGTGTTTTAACGCTATTACTTCTTTACTTACTTGCTTAAGCGCAAGGAGCTCTACCTTAGTAGTTAAAGTAGTAATAGTTGCTTATTAAGCTACCTTCTAAATAATAGGTTCTCTAAAGAGCGTAATTAGGTATTTATATAATAATTGCTAAGTATTAATATTATTAGTAAATAATATATTACTATATATTATAAGCTTATTAAGATCCCTATTCTTATATTAGATTAATTAGTATTAAGTTTAGTATAGATAGACAATTACTTAATTAACTATATTAAAGTGTTGTTTAGATAGGTTAGTAAGGTATTAGGAGAGCTAGGAGGCTATATAGGTAATATTAGGGCGCACTATAATTAAGGTGTAAAGGATTAATCTAACGCGCTCCTAATAGTCCTTAATCTCTTTTTTAGTAGCTTCTCCTATACTCTTTTTAATATCTTTACTTAATAGTAGTGTAGTAGGGAAT